TGGCTAGGACTTCCAGTACTATGTTAAATAGTAGTGGTGATAGTGGGCATCCTTGTCTGGTTCCTGTTCTTAGAGGGATAGCTTTCAGTTTTTCACCATTGAGGATGATATTAGCTGTGGGTTTGTCATATATGGCCTTTATTCCTTCTCACATTCTAAATTCTATAGTGTCTACCCTGGTTTTCGTATTTTCAAGGCTGAAAACATTTTACTGAGAACCATAATTAATTTTTATGTGCTCTGTTTATAGGTTAATTTTAAAAGCTAGAAATATTAAGGATTATTTATGTTATTACAACAGTGCAACTTAACACAGCAGAGCCGAATAGTGCGTTATGACCTAATTTTCTTTCAGTGATAGCTTTTTTAAAGGTTTTGATTTGCCTTTTTTTTAAAAACACCATTTGCTTTAGCATTTCCTTAAATTGAAAAAAAACCAAAACCTTATCTTATCAGTCATTCTCTTGTTTTGGAGCCTTCCACCCCCTCCTTCCATCCAAACTGATTGTTCTCAAGGCCTACTGCATGGCTGTCATCTGGGGTTTGTCTCACACCTTTTCTGTGTTGGATAAAGCTATTCCTGAATTCCATGTCTTCGTTTTTCTTACATTATTTCCTTATTTTGTTAGAGTACCTCTTCAGGTAATCTCCTGAGAAGAGATATTGGGGAATTAATTGCAGAGTCTTTGCATTCCTGAAAATATCTGTATTTCATTATTCCCTTTTCTCAGTGTTGTTGTATGTACAGTTCTAGGTTGAAAGTAATTTTTCTCTCAGAATTTTGAAGGCCTATTGTGATTGTCTTCTCGTAGGAAATCTAGTGTTTTCTCATTCTTTTGTATGTGACCTGTTTATTTTTGACATTACTTATTTATTCTAGCTTTATTGAGATATAATTGACAAGTAATGTACTGTAACTTTAAGGTGTTCAATGTGATGAGTGACCTATTTGTTTTTGATTGCTTAAAGATCTTTTATCCCAGGTGTTTGAAAATTTGAGAATGATTTGTCCAGAGTGGGTTTTTTTCACTATGCTGGGTACCTGCTGAGTGGCGTTTGTAGCTTTTAAATCTAAGATATTCTTTTGTGTTATTAGTAGATTATTTCACTAATTAAAGTTTTCAGAGAAACAGTACTTTGTTTTATTTTCCAATTTTAGATGTGGAGGAGCATATTGTACGTTTTGACAATCTTATGAATCAAAAAGAAGATAAGCTGAGACAGAGATACCGTGACACATATGATGCTGTTTTATGGCTAAGAAATAACAGAGACAAATTTAAACAAAGAGTCTGTGAGCCCATAATGCTCACGGTAAGAAATTTGTTCATCTTTGTAGCATCTGTTAGTTTTATTATTGTAATCATTGTAGATTTTTATTGTTTCAAAAATTCTTAGTCTTATTAATACCCTGGTTTTCTATTGTCAAACTTATGGCGTCTGGTAACCTGCTGAATCCATACATGAGCTTTTTAAAGCGTCCTTGATCAATAAACCTGTGAGCTTTTTCTAGAAAGGAGTATGAAGCTGGCAGCTTTTTGACTGAGAATCATGTATAAAATTAGCTTGGTTAGCTGGTTCCTTCTGGCAATTGCTGTTCTTAGGTTGTAGCAAGCAATAGGGCAAACACTGCCAAAGGGGTAGAAAATGGCTGTAAATAAATATGTTGATATGGAGCACCTGACAGAGGATAGACAAGAAAATCACCTGCTACAAAAGTAGAGCATTCTGAGGATTCTGAGAATGAAACCAGCAGTTTCTTGACCTCATAACCGTTTGATAGCTCTATTGATGATCATGGGTCATCAAGAATAGGGTAAGCTATATTTAGTAAATCATTTAATGAGGTGTGGCCATGGATTTACCAGGAAGATTTCCATCTAAAATATTTAAAATCATAAATTTGACCACAGAAAGGGATGAAAAAGTAAAAACCACATTCTTGGGTAATGATATATTTAGATATACATGTATAATATAAACTTAAAACTTACTCCAAAATGATGTAAAGATTGTTTTTGCTTGATAATTTTTTTACTTTAGAAAAGAAATCACTATAGAAAGAATCACTTGCAGGATTCATGATGAAAAGTTCTATTTTCTGTAACTCATGTTTGTGTTATACTTTATTCAAAATCATTTCATATAGTTCTTTGTCTTTTATTATATCTTATGTTATATTAGCAAAATTAATGTGCATAATACTGTATTCTCTTCTTGCTCGGGTATGTATTATTAGAATATTTTTGCCAGATCAAGAAAGGAATATCTATTTCAGAGGCAAACATTATTGTTTTGATTAACTGGTAAGGATTGAAAGAAATATAAGAAAAAATATTGTGACCATTAGTATAATAAGTTATAATGCAAGTATAATTGTCAACAGGTTTTTATTAAAATGACAACCTCAAAATAATACTTCAGAACTTTATTAGATTTGTCATTCTCTTGTCACTTGATTTCTTAATAGTAGCCTATCACTAAGTGGGATTAGTAGCTGGCATATATTTACATTTTAAATTACCTTTAAATCGTTGAGATAAAGAGATATCTATACTCTGCTTTTTTTTTACCCTTCCTGGAATAACCTTTCACTTTTCCTACCACCTCCTTCCAACTTACCCCACACACTTATCTAACTCTTCAAGATCTAGTTGAAATGCTACCACTTCCAAAGGCAAGTTAGTAATATATAAACTTAAAATTTTAGTCATATAACTTGTCAGCAATCTATTTGCATGAGTTAGTTCTAACAATTCCAGTCTAGAGTTAGAGAAGTGTGCAAATATTTATTTACAGTTATACTCCTCACAGTAGTGTTTATAATAGCAGAATGGTGGGGCAAAGAACAAAATTTCAAAAGATATTGATTGGTTATGGAAATTATCCTGTGTCCCTTTAATGGAATACTATGCAGTCATTAAAAATGTTGCTGTAGGTCTGTCTTTACTCATAAAAAAGGACATTTATGACATGTTATTGAATTATAAAACAGGTTACAGGATAGGATGTATAGAAAGATTTCATTTTAAAAAATTGTGAAACAGGAGTCTGCCATCAACCACCAGATCATCTTGGAGTGCTACACCTCCTATGTCTACCTGTTTATGTCTTACTACCTTGTGAAGATGTGGCTTTGAAGAACTTTGCCAAAGTTTCTTCACCAGTCTCATAAGGAGAAAGAGCACGCTCAGAAGCTCATGAAGCTGCAGAACCAATAAGGTGGCCAGATCTTTCTTCAGAATATCAGAACACCAGACCACAAACGCAATAGAGTCTGCATTGCACTTGAAAAGAAGTGTGAATTGGTCACTACTGGAAATGCACAAACTGACCAGTGACAAAAATGACCCCTACTTGTATGACTTCCTTGATTCTCATTACCTAAATGAGCAAGTGAAATTCATCAAAGAATTGAGTGGCCATGTAACCAACTTATACAAGATGGGGACCCCAGAATCTGACACGTCAGAATATCTTTGATAAGTACAGCCTGGGGGAGAGTGATAATGAGAGCTAAGTCCTAGTCTGGCTTATCCATAGCTATAAAAAAGGTGAATTCATATGGTCATATTGGGGTTACTTTACCTTTTCTCTAAGTTGTAGCAAACACCCACTTACATTTTTCTTTCTTTTGTACCATTCCTTCCCAATAAAGTAATTTGGTATCAAAAAAAAAAATTTATGAAACAGTAGACACTAAATGTCTATAGTGTTTATGTCCGAGTGTTGGTATTTTATGTGGCTTTAATTTTTTTGTTTGCTTGTGTATTAGTTTTCCCCTTTTTCTACACTGATTTTCTGAAATTTAAAGTAGAGAGTAATATTGGCCAACATTTATATGACAAGCACTGTACTAATTCTTTTATTATCTCCTTTAATCCACATTTAGTCCTATGAAATATAGACTGTTTTACTATACCCATTTTATGGATGAAGGTAACTGAAGCTTTCAGAGATTTAAGTAATACTTGATCAAGGTCAGATGTGGGATTTGAAGCAACATCTGTCTAACCCCAGAGCCCCAGCTCTTAACTAGTATGCTGCATTTTAGATATATAATACATAAATACCTTCTCTTTCAGAAATCTTTATATTGTCAAGAAAGCTAATTTCCATCTGCTGGAAGTAATCTTTCTCTCTTCTAAAATTCCATAGATAGCATTTTTTGTATACCTCTGTTGAGGAACTTTAACGTGCTCTGCTTTTCGACATACTTATCATCTGCAATAAATAATAGATTGTACTCCTCTTGAAACAGTTTGTTTTCTTGACCTATCAGTATCTTCCATAGCATTGAGCCTCACATGCAGAAATGTCTAATTAGTTAATAATTTAAAAATAAATCATTAAGTTTATGTTCTAGTGGTGCAAACCTAGGGTTTCTCTTGAAAACACTATTAGTTACAATTAATCTGTAGCAGGTTTTTTCATTAGTTTTATAAAGTTTTGCTCAGTTCTTTGTGTTTTTATACTGATCAGTTATTGCCATGTATAGTAACAATTCCTCTTGAAGATTAAGAAGAAAAATATTAAATGTTTGGGGACAGATGAGAAATGTTTATGTTCTTAGGTTCGAATCTAAGCCTATTTCAGATGTTTTCAGTGAGTTGACCAGAAGGGAACTTAAGTTATTTCTTAGCTAGTATCAAAATCGTTATGCACCAGGTGCTATTCAAGTCTTCGCTTTTGTTTTACTATGTTTTGGATGCTTCTGGGTAATAAACGGATGTTTTAAAATGTTGACTCTTCAATACCAAGGTTTTTTTTTTTTTTTGAGGAAGACCAACCCTGAGCCCACATCCATTGCTAATCCTCCTGTTTTTGCTGAGGAAGATTGGCCCTGGGCTAACATCCGTGCCCATCTTCCTCTACTATATATGGGACGCTGCCTCAGCATGGCTTGACAAGTGGTGCGTCAGTCTGTGCCCGGGATCCGAACCTGTGAACCCCAGGCTGCCGAAGCAGAGCACTCGAACTTTTACTGCTATGCCACCGGGCTGGCCTCCAAGTTGTTCTTTTTTTGTCTTCCTTTTTCTCAAGTATTAAATTTAATTAAATAAATCTAAGTGTGTAGTATAATTATGTTCTAGTAATCAGTTTGGGTTTTATGAAAATCAACTTATATTTTCTTTTTGTTTTATTTAGATCAATATGAAAGATAATAAAAATGCCAAATATGTTGAAAATCATATTTCATCAAATGACTTGAGAGCTTTTGTATTTGAAAGTCAAGAAGATATGGAGGTTTTTCTCAAAGAGGCAAGTACTAACCACATAATACTTTGACTCACTTAACACTTATCTTCCAGTGCTTGAGTTTTTAACTTCAAACTAGAGCAAAAAATGATAATGAGTAATTTTACTAGCAGTAACTCTTGTGTAAAATCATTTAATTTTGCCAATTTCTTTCCTATCTATGCCATTATTGAGGGATGAATTGGTTTTATAAGAGGAAAAACAGCCCATAATTCCATCTGTAACATTTTGAAATTATCGTTTGGAATTAATATGAAGAGTAATTCTGTCACATTGTTGCCAGAGAAAGAAACATCATAGTGATGAGCCTTTGGTCTTGGACATCCTTTTTGGAAATGTGTTGGAATGAACTCAGTTTTTCTTTGGAGGATAAATCAATATGATGTTTTTACTTATTAATATAAATAAAATCTCTTTAAAAAGAATGAGAATCCTATATCTGGCTAGAAGAACACCACCGACCAAGAATCTAAGCCCCTGAAAGGCTTCATGGCTTAGTCGTTAAGAGCATAGACTCTATAGATAGGCTGCCAGGATTTGAAATCTGACTTTGCTGCTAACTTGAGCAAGTTGCCTAAATGTTTTGTGCCTTAATTTCCTCCTCTGTGAAATGGAGGTAGTATTATCTACTTCCAAAGATGGTTTGACGATTAAATCAGTTAATAAATGAAAAGATATTTAGGACACTGCTTGTTGTTATATGTCTATATAATACATATTATTAGACGTATATGTTATTATTGTCAGTAAGATTTCTTTTTCCTTTTGCATGTGCCTTCTACTTCTTCAAAAGCTCCATAAAGATTAGGTTTAGATTTGGTATTGTTTTATTTAAATCTCTGCTAGTAAGTCTAAGTGAGGACAGGACCCTGAATTAGCTCAAGTGGTCCTGTTTCTCTGGTACACAGGCGATTGGGAAGAATCCTTGCTTTCTTTGTCTTTTACCATATTGCCCTCCTGGTTTGGGAGTTGGCAGGCAATGTGAATATAAAGTGACTGGATAAAAAGGTTGGATGTATAAAATTATAAAATTGACTCCAAACAGTTCAACATTTGTGGGTGTTAGAACCATTTAAGTCTAACCAGTGAGTTATTGATCTGGTGTCAGAGCTCCTTGAAGAAGTAGGTTTCTTAGATTACAAGTCTGTGAGACATGGCACACTGTGAAGGGCGTTCAGTCAGGTGTAAGTAGATGATTTCTGTTTTGCAAATGGCCAGTTTTGCCTGCACCGAGTGCCTTGATTTGCCGCAAAAACTCATGCTTCCTTTGTGCTGAGAATTTGAACCATATATTGATATGACATAGGTTCCTAAAAATTTGACCTATATTTTTTATTGTGCTATAACAATTAATTTTCCATAGCTTCTCATCAGTAGGACCAGAACGTCCTCTTACGTGTGTGACTTTTTGTGTATTTAAATTATGAAATTTGTCATATACAACTGCCTCTTGTAATTGTATCTACTAGAATACCATTTCCCGTCTTTCAGTAACTTACAAACCATCTTCAGTTGTTGCCATTTCTGCATACTACCATGCACTACCACACAATTTTTGCCATATCTGGGTACTATTATTTAATATTTTTCTTTAAATCAGTTCACTTTTTGTTACTTAAACAAAATATTCTAAGAGGAAGTATAATATCACTACCATGGGAGGGGACATAATTTGCATAACAATAAAGACATAAGGAGTTAAGGACATGCTGATAGCATAGTGCAACTTACTCCTTGGTATGATTAGAAATATTGAAAGGGAAATTACTTTCTCATTGTGTAATTCAGTTTTATTTAGTGTAACCATTAAAACAATAGATTTTAAAAACTTAAATTAACCCTACATACTAGTATCATTGATATATTGACTCAGGGCCAATATTGTTTCATCTGTATCTTCGCTCCTTTATTTTTTTAATAACTTCTTTTGATGTAACTTCAAACTTGCAGAAAAGTTGCAAGAGACATACATGTAACTTCTCTATACCTTTTACCTAGATTCACTACTTATTTACATTTTGCCCCATTTGCTTTATTTCTCCATTGTGAAGTACAGTTTTGCTATAACTCAGTATATACATTCCTAAAAATCACTATGCTATGCAAAATTGTGCAGTAAAAACCCACAGGGCCTATGGGGGAAAAATAGTAGCACATTTTTACACATGTTCAATTGTTAAATACACAAATACAATAAATATGGTGCTTTGTTTTTAAAAAGATTGAAGTTGGCTTGTGGAAGTAGGCATTGGAAGGGTTCAGTTTGTGAATTGTATAGTGGGTAAAGCAATTACAAAGCACTGTCTGAAATCTGATGGAAAGTTGTAACACCAAATGTGATTGAGTGTGGCTCATAACATGTGGTAAACTGAGGCAGCTAGTAGATGTTTGAGAGGGGTGTGTGTGCGCCTGTATTTGCACACAGGTTATATGTATTCCTATACAGCTCAGTTCAATTGGGTGCAGTTTTCTACATTCACCTAGAGAAAACCTTGTGTTTCTTGTGGATGTAATTGCGCATAAGCAAATGTGAAATTCACATAATGCTTAAATTGTCCGCTAATATATCACTTGCTTGGAACAAATTTGTCTTCAAAACAAGCATTATAGCACAACTGTTTTGCTCCTTGTATTTGTGTGTATTGAAATACTTACAGACTTTGAAAATATCCTGTTCCTCATGAAACTACCTAGTAGGTTTAGGAACCATTAATGGTTCTAACTCAATCATTTCTTCTATATTTATTAGTTGGCATTCTGCTAGAAAGAAGAGCTTTTTCTTTCTTTATTTGTTGATTCATGGAATTTTATTTTTTTATAGGGATTATAATCCATTACTATTATTATTTATTTTAACGCTCAAATTGGCCCAGATTTGGCCAGTGAGACCTTCTTCAAGTTGACTCCTGTGTCCTGTTGATATTTTGCCATCATATTTTGAGCACTGCATACTTTTTGGCAGAGCAAGATGTTGACTCATCTTGAACACTCTGGTCCTTACAATTAGCTTTTTTCCCAAAGAACCCTAGTTCCTTTTAGAAAACAAAATCTAGGTAACAGGTGTGACCATTGGTGCTAATGTCTCATTGCTTCTAAGCCCTCACGCGCTAACTCTTACATCTATATTTATGTCTTTATTATCTAGAGAGCAAGAGTGCACCGTGAGTTCACACTGATACTTCCAGTTACAATCCAACACAATAGGGTACCTTCTAGTCTTTCTCCTTTGCATATTTGTAATTTCCTTCTGTAGCAGTGAAAAACATAACCCCCCCCTTATCATCAATATATTTACTCATTTAAGTCTAGAATGCTGTGAAAGTAATTTCAGAATTGCTAATTCGTGCCACCATGAAATTCTTCCATTCCACCATCCCATCATGTCTCTATTAATTTCTCTCAGCATTGTTTTGTCCTTTTCAGTGTATAAGTCTTGCTCATCTTTTGTTAATGTGTTCTTAAGTATTTTACGTTTTGTTGACACTGTCGTAAATGGATTTCTGAAATTCATTTTCCAGTTGTTCATTGCTAGTGCATAGACATACAGTTGATTTTTTTGCGTTGACCTCATATCCTGTGACACTGTTGAATTCACTTATTGAAATCTAGTACAGTCAAGTGTTGCTTAATGATGGGGACATGTTTTGAGAAATGCATCATTAGGTGATTTCATCATTGTGTACACATTGTAGAATGTACTTACACAAACCTAGATAGTATAGCCTACTACACACCTAGGCTATATGGTACTAATCTTAGGGGACCACCATCGTGTATGTGGTCTGTTGTTGACCAAAATGTTGTTATGCGGTGCGTGACTGTAGTTACTTTGTAGATTCCATGGGATTTTGTTTGTAGAAAGTCATATCTTTGTAAACAGATCTTTTTACTTGTTTCTTTTCCGTCTTTTACCTCTTTATTGTGCTTCACTACAGTGAAGTACCTCCAGGACATTGTTGAAGAGAAGTGGTAAGATAAGACACATTCCCAGTCTTAGGGGGAGAGCACTTAATGTTTCACCATTAAGTATTATGTCTGCTGTACATTTATCATAGGTACCCTTTATCAAGTTGAAGAGGTTTCCTTCTATTCTTAGTTTACTGACAATTTTTATCATGAATGGCTGTTGAATTTTGTCAGATATTTTTCCTGCATGCGAGATGATCATATGGCTTTTGTACTTTATTCAGTTAATACAATAAATTAGATTGGTTGATTCAAATATTACATCAATCTTGAATTCCTGGGGTAAACTCTGCTTGGTCATGTATACAGTTTATATCTTGCTGGATTCTTTTTACTAATATTTTGTTAAGGATTTTTGCGTATATGTCCATGAGGGATATTGTAATGTTTTTGTCAGGTTTTGGTATTAGGATTATGCTGAAATCATAAAATGACTTGGGAAATATCCCTTCCTCCTGTTTTCTGAAAGAGTTTTGGTATTACTGCTTCGTCAACTTTGATAGAATTTATCACTGAAAATAATAAAAGAAATGTACTCTTTTTGTAAAAATACATAATTGCAATATAAAGACACAACTACAATATCATTATCACACTAACAATTTTTCTTGTAAGTACATGCCATTAAAATATCCAGTAAATGTTCAAATTTCTGATCATCTCATGAATGCCAGTAGGAATATGATAACTTTAAAAATCATTTTGACTGATAGTATATGGTCGTTAAAATAATTTTTCCCTTATATTCAGGTTCGTGACAATAAAAAATTAAGAGTAAATGCTGTTATGGCTCCTGAGCATTCCTGTGCCGACAAAGCACCTTCAGTATCTCTGAATGAACTAAAGTAAGTCTTGAAAATATTATTAGAACTAACCTGTTACTTTGAATATTGAATAATCATTTATCTCTTAAATATGTTTTAATTATCTCTGTCACATAAATATGTTTGGTATAAGCTATATTATTCCCTTTTAGGATCTCTACTTCAGTCTAAAATAAGGAAAAATCTAGGCCCAGGAACAGACCATGGTATAGTTATTATATGATGGTGATGTTTCAAATCAGTGGAACGATATTGGTATATTTAATACAAGAGATACTAAAATAGTTTGTTAGTTATTGGGAAGGTAAAATGATAAATCATCACTTCGTAATGCAAAAATAATTTCCCAACGGACTAAATGTAAAAATTGCAATTATAAAATAGCTGTAAGTAAATATCTTAACTCTGGATGAAGTAAACATTCTAAATATAAAAGCAATGGAAGAAACAACAAAGCAACAGATTAATAGTTTGCAGTCATAAATATATTAATTTTAAGCTTTTCTGACAAATAAATCTCAATGTTAATCACTTAATATTAAGTGATTTTAAAACATATGAAGAAAAAAGACTTTCTGTACCATTATTAAATAATTTATATTTTATTTATTGTTTATTGGCCACTTGTCAACTATCATTTTTTTAAATGATATTTTAAGAGGAAAAATATAATAGGTGCTTTTCCTTTCAGACAATATGGATTTTTCTCTTATTTGAGAGAGTTATTTGATGCACCCAATCCTGTCATGAGTTACCTTTGCTACCAGTATCATATTCATGAAGTTCCTGTAGGAACTGAGAGGACCAGAGAAAGAATTGAACGGGTAAGAGGGTACTGAATTAATACCAAAAACGTACTTCTGTTAAAACTTCCTAGCTTCAAGTCAGGGAAAAATTGTGAGAAATGTTAAGAAGTGTATCATTCTGTTGTTTTTAACCACACAGAAATTATCTTTGTATTTTACATTTTTAATATGACATGAAGCAGAGACTGTTGACTAATATTTTATGAAAGGAGTGATAAGTGCTTACTTAGAGTAAATGAATACTTAGTACCTGTAGGGTGGTTGAATAAGGTTAAAGCCTGAAAAGAGATACCTGGCATTGTTCTACCTTGCTTGACAATCCTCTGTTCAAACATTGTGTTAATGGGTTGATCATTTAAATTCTTGTATTCTAGATTATCTTTCAGACAAATTATACTTTAAGATGGTAGGCTAGGGTATAGAACTGATTTGGTAAGCCCTCTCTTAAAGCTTTCATTTAACATTATCTCATGTATGAATGACCACCCTTAATAGGATCTCATTTCCTGGCTAGTACAGCTACATAAATTCTTAGTTCCTATATTCTGCTAATGCTGCTTGGAGTTTTCTTCTCCTTACAAGTAATCTCCAAGACTCCAAACCATATTCGTTGCTTTTAGCAAAAGCAGAAACAGGGAAGAAAGCTCTTCTAAAACAGGTTTTTCCATAACACCAAGTTGCCGTATTCATATTGCTTGTAAGCATCTAGGACCCAATTACAGACCCAACTGCTACTTATAATATTGAATACTAGAAAAAGTTTTTTAAATTTTTAGCAACCTGTGTACAGGTATCCCTAGGGTAATTCATTTGTAATTTGGGGGCTCTAATATACTTCATTAACAGAAGATAGAAATGGTTCATTACCAACCCATTTTGCAAAAACAAGCTAATTATAGTAAGTTGCCTGTGTCTTTGATTAAAAATTACATCATATTACGGTGATTATTTGGGGAAACCAAAAATAAAACTCTCCATGTGGGTGTATCTCTTTTCTGTCTTAATTCACTGGGGTTTAGAAAAGACCACATGCATAGACCAAACCAATTTCTGTTATAATTTCAGGGGTAGATAGGGCTATCTCTGAGAGTAAGGGTAGTAGGACTATTGCAGAAAGACTATAGAAAATTTGGTAAAGGCTTTCATAACTTTTCTTTGGGGCAGAAGGGAACAATACTGCACTTGGAAAATCTCTTTACTTTTTGAACAGTGCTTCAAGTTGAATTATTTTATGTTCTTTTACTTTTAAACAAAATGTTGAACTCACCTACAGAACTTTAACCTTGCTGTTTGTACTGGAGAAAGAGCATTGGAATTCATATAATTTACATTAAAAATGAAATTAGTTCTTCTATTCCCCCTCATCTCTTTTCAGGTATTTTTCATTAGCCTTAATCTTTTTGGTTTTATATAAGTGATGATATTTTTAAAATCCTTGAACACATTGAGTGTTTCTTAGACCTTATTGTTCTGATGCCTGACTCGGTGCTATGTTATGTATAAATACTCTATGAATTATGAGACACTTCTCACAGTAAAGCAAAGTGAGGAAGTATTTCAGACACCTGGTATAAAGCCCCTGACATTATCTTGGCCGTCTTTCAGAAGATATAAACCTTCAGTGACGAAATTTACTGCCTTTATATTCTGTCCTCTGTAATGGCTGTATTTCTCCCTTAAAATAAAAATACATTCTTCACTCTAAGTTTTGCTTTATTATCAAGTCCTAACATTTTAGGTTCTCTAACAGTGATTATACCCCATTTATGAAATTGTTCTCATTAATTTCTGAGCCTCTCCCCTTTGGTTAAATTGTCTGCTGACCTCCTTAGCTTATGATGTTCCTTTTGCTGGGGGTGCGCTTTCCTCATCATCTCTGGCAGTTTAAATCAGTTTAAAATTTATTTGCGTGAAACTTGGGTAGGCTAACCTTATCTAGGCTTTCCCTTCATTCCAAATTATTCAGCATTTATGGATGCCAGTTTATACCTTACTAAACTAAGTGTGCTTAAATATGTCTTAACTCTTCGCTTGAACTGTAAACTTCTAAAGAGAAACAAGCCACAAGAAGATTGGTAATGAACCTTTAGAGATTGGAAAAAACTGCATTACAGCAGCCGGTTTTTTATAAATATACAGAAATAGATTAGTAATGTTATAGTGTTTAGAATATGCTTTAGTTTATGAAACTCCTTGTATAAGTCCTTGAGAGAAAAGATCTCGAAAAAACAAAAAGTCTTTGAAATCCTTGAAAAGTGTTTCCATTAAGTATTCTCCCAAATATACAGGAATTAAATATGAGATTATGTACCTTTGAACAATATAACTGAGGGGAGGGGAAAGTAAGTGACTTAGTTGAGACAACACAGTTCAGTCTACTGGGCAGCTGCCTCCTGATACCTCTTCTGTAGATAGAACAAGCTCCAAAAGTCCACTTAACTTGGGAGAGATTGTAGACTGAAGCAGAAGGATGGCCAACTTTGCTAGTTACTTTGGTTTTCTCCCAATTCTCTCTCTCTTAGTCTTTCTTAGTGTTGTTTTCCAAAGTAATAACCTGAAATGTATCAGCTACCTTTTTAGAGATGTTGTTGGATAAGTTTAAAAAAAAAATGAAAGTACATCTAGTATATTTTGATCTTCTAAAATTGACTTGATCTGTATTTTTCATTCTTTAGTCCTTTTAAAAATAAATCATAGTTATTAGATGTGCACTGATACATGTTTTACGTTGTAGGTAATACAAGAAACCCAATTAAAACAATTTTATACAGCAGAAGAAAAGTATGTGGTGAAAACTTCATTTTATTCCAACAAACATATTACTGTTAACACGTCCCTAAAAGTAGCCCAGTTTCTCACAGTTACTGTGGATCTAGAGCAAAGACGACACTTAGAAGAACAGCTAAAGGTTGGTTATTTTGATTTGAGTATTAGAAAAGAGTATTAACTGAATTTATAGTATTTTAACCAGAACTATTTTTAGAATATACTCACAATTTTGAATATTCCATAGGAAATTAATAGAAAATTGCAAGCAGTGGAATCAGGGTTGATTGCCTTACGTGAGAAAAACAAACATCTAGAACACAGAGACAATGAACTTAGACAAAAGAAGAAGGAGCTTCTTGAAAGGAAAACCAAGAAAAGACAACTGGAACAAAAAATTAGTTCCAAACTAGGAAGGTATCTTTTTAGCCTATTCCGGGGTGGGGGGGGCGGGCACAAAGCACTATGAGGATATTATTAGTTGTTCCCTGTAATGACGACACAGTTCCCACAAGCTCGTTTTGTAATAATCTCTCTCTCAAACTTTAATCCTACTACCCAAAACACAATTTTAGTCCACAGGGCAAAGGGAGGTGAATCTTAAGTGTTGTGAGTTTTTCTGTTCCTTAATCAGCTATTCTTATCCCTGGACCCCTTTCTATGCTTAAAAATTATTGAGGACCCTGAGGAGGTTTGTTTATATGGATTATATCTATTGATGTTTACCACCTTAGAATTTAATTTCTAATTTTAATACTGAGAATGCTTAAAATATTTAAGTCATTTAAAAGTGACAGTAAATCCGTTATACATTAACATAAGTATTTATGAAAAACAACTATTTTCCAAACAAAATACATTTAGCAGGAAGAATGGCATTATTTTACATTTCTATAAATCCCTTTAGATGAAGTCAGTTGTTTTTTTATATCTGTTTCTGCATTCGATTGATTGTGAGATGTTGTTTTGGTTGAAGTATATGAAGAAAATCTGGCCTCACATAAATATGTAGTTGGAAAAGGGAGAGGTAAATAGACCTTTCAGATAATTGTGTATATTCTTTAATACTATGTCAAAACTTGCCAAGGTGTGGTTTCCTCAAGTTTAATTGCAACATGGAATCTGAAATCATCAGTGAAGTTGTGTACTCTTACATTACTTTAAGTGCATCTTTTACCCATGAATGATCTTGTTACATCATGCATTGGTCATTTGAAAAATATTGGTTCACCAAGTCATGTAGATCTTCTTTTATTGTATAATATCAGAAAATAGTCACATTGATCTCCAATCCCATCAGAAGAGCTTTTAAGAATTGGGAAGCTGTCAAGCTCACAGTGGTGGATACAAATTTTCCAAAATTCTCATTTTCACTTGAAAGCTTGAATTTTATCATTGACAACAAATATTATCAGTTATTTTCCTTGAAGTGATAGGCTCACTTCATTTACTTTTGGGGAAAAAAAAATCTGCCAGATACCCAAGTCTGCATAATTATAGTATGTCATTCTTTCAAAAAGTATTCCTTGAAAAAAGTGTCTAGTCCAGCTCCCAACTCGTACAATCACCCAAGTCCTTTTCCTTGAGACAACCATCGTACTTTGGTATACAGCAGAAGTGCTTTATGAGTACTGTATACTTCCTGTTTCATCTCACTGAATGTTAAAAAGATATATAGTTAAAGAGTTAAAGAGATTTAATAAAATTAACAGTTTTTACTGTCATCAAGGACATTCTTAAGTGAATTTGCCATTTTTAAAATTTTTGAGTGCATGGCAGTGAAGAATCTAACAACTGATGCACTTTGGTGCTACTACCTTGATTCTTTCTAAAGCACTAGCATTTTTACTCACCATTGCTTTTGTACCATCAATGCAAAAGTCAACACAGTGAGAAGGGCAAATCATGTCTTATTATACTTGTGGTTTCAAGGATCCTCAGGAGTCTGCGGACTACACTTTGAGAACCACTGACCTAGATGAATATCCAGCATAATATGTCCATTGAATTTGGAATGATGGTAGAGGGGAGGGGAAGGTATAGGCAGTAGGATTATCAAACTAGGCTGTTTGTTTTCTCACCAACTCTGAAAGAGAGTAATAAGGAAGGAGGAGGTTATGCTGATTTTCACAGAATAGAATGGGCCCCTGGAGGTTTATCTCACTCTTTCAGTTGTAATCTCCCTTGTTACAATTAGGATTATATCTGCTTAGCCTTAATGGTCACGTATTCCACAGGATTCTATACAAAATGTGAATAGTCTCAAAAGTCTTTTCCGAAAGGAAAACTGCTAGTGTACTGTGAGAGCCCAGGCAGCTATTCTCAGAACTGATTATAAGTTTTATTTTGAGTTTAGATATTTTTAGAAACTAGAATATATAAGATGGGATAAAAGCTGTTAGAGTGTTCAGTCTAGGGGAAAGAAACATGGCTTCCAGTTTCAAGATTTCTCCCGTGTTCTGCCATGACACAGCTCAGACCTTTTTGTTGTAATTGTTCTTTTATGCTTCTTTCTTGTAGAATAAAGATGTTAATGACATAATCAGTCTTTAATAATAAAAAACAGCTCATTGCCTTGAGTAGGGTGTAAGTGTACCTTGACCTAATATATATAGTATGTATTTCTAAACACATTCATAAGTTGAATTATATTTGAAATGCATTAAGAAAATGTGTTCTTTACTGTCTTTTAAAGCAAACAATTGCCATTAACTTTATTATTTAAAAAGTTAATAATGTACCTTGGTTGCTTAAAGCAAGCTATATCTGTTTAGTCTAGCTGCCTAGAATTTTTTCAACTTTAAGCCTTTTTACAACTTTAACCCTTCACTTCATTTCTCTCTTTAGTCATCTGCAAGACACTTAACCTTTACTGCTTGACTGCTATATTGGACCCATTGTCTAAAAGTAAACTTTCTCCTCGTATCGTAATGTTGATTTTTCTAGTAAAATGACCTTTCATGCTCATTACCAGCCTGCTCTCTCATGCCTGCTGTTACTCACTTTGGAATACTGCAGTGGTGACCTGGTTAGTGATCTCTCCTCGACTAGTCTCCTCTCTATTCAGTGCATCCAGAAGACTTGTTAAATTTATCTTTTTGTCTTCCTACCCCATTCAAGAATATTGTTGTGGCTTCCTACTGTTACTACATGAAATTTAGTTAAGCACTGCTTTCCCTTAGATTGGCTTTCAAGTTTTTCAAAATCTTGTTTTGCTCTATCCATTCTATATTATCTCCCTAGCCACCCTAACTCTCTTCCATATGCTATTCAGGCCACTCTACAGTATCCACTAACTTGTTCATTCTTATTTATTATTGCTTCCATCCTTTGTTCTTGCTTCTTCACTGGAGGCAACATGGTATAGTGGAAAGAACTTGGACTTTGGTGTCAAAGACATCTTACCACTTAATATCTGTGATCTTGGGTAACTCAATTAACTTCTGAGCCTTAATTTCTTCATCTTAAAGTAAAGCACAAAGTATTAACTTTTAGGATTGTTGTATTGTCTTTTCATTATTTTTTTTTTTTTTTACCTATTAATCAAATCTCCCCAGTTAAGCTCCTTAAGGGAAGGGACTATGTTTATAAACAATGTTAATAACAACAGTAACAACTAATATTTATTAATCAGTTATGGGCCAGGCACTATACCTAAGTGTGTTATATATTTTCCCTTTTTTTAATCTTCACCACAGCCTTATAGGAGAAGTAGTACTAGTATTATTTCCAATTTACAGATGAGGAAATTGAAGCTCAGAAGAGTAACTTGTCTGGTTATACTGCCCATTAGTGGCAAAGAGGAAATTCAAATCCGTCTTTCTGACTCAAGATCCTATACCATTAGCATTACCTAGACTATGCTGGCCACATAATATATCTCAACAAATACTTTTTGATCCTGACTGGTTGCGTAAAATGATTGTTTAATCTAGCAGCTAGCAGTTTATACATCTGAGTGGTATTACTAAATAGCCCATAAAACAGCAGAGGACCTAAGGATTTGGGCTCAATCCTTGTGTTTAACTCCGATTTCTCCATCATTATGTGTTTTATACAGTTTAAAGCTGATGGAACAGGATACTTGCAACCTTGAAGAGGAAGAGCAAAAAGCAAGTACCAAAATCAAGGAAATAAATGTTCAGAAAGCAAAACTTGTTACCGAATTAACAAACCTGATAAAGGTAAGGCATTTTTGTAATTTTAGTCATTTTTTTATAGCAGGTAGATAAGATAGTAAAATCTTAGCAAGACATTTTTAACAATTTCAGCTTGCTCTGTTGTTTGACATTTCTCATTATAGGTCAATAAGCTGGTTAAAAGCACTCATTAAGCTAAATTATTTTATTCCAGATGATTGATTAAATCATAGGAATAAATAGGAATCAACATAGGAATAAATAGGAATCAATAGGAAAACTTTTAAAAACTCTCTTATAAGAAATCTTTATGAAAAGAACTATTTGAAAGAAGTATCAATCACATTAGAAAAACGTGATTCTTTTCATGGTTTATAATTTCATTTTTTAAAAAGAAACTAATGTTTTTTTGGTGTAAAACAAATTAAACTCTTAGGGGTTTTTGTTCCTAGATTTGTACTTCTTTGCATATACAAAAAGTAAATTTAATTCTTCAAAATACTACAGTTATCTCCGAGAAGAACAAATTAGAATCAGATTATATGGCTGCTTCGTCACAACTACGTCTCACAGAGGTAAGTTTTTTCTTTTGTTTATTTTGGAGTTCCAGCCTCAGACCAGTTTGAAAACATACATCATCATTTGCAATATGCAGTTTGTTGTATGTTCTTTAATTGACAAGTTTAATGTATGCTGCTGATGAGGAAGCAATATTTGAAACACTTAGTACTATGCATTTTATGTTATTTGATTGGGGAGGGGTGGTAATCAAAAAAGAGAAATCAGAGTATCTGGTTTAGTCCCTTGAAAACTAAAATCTTCTCTCTGCTTTCTTAACCCATATAAATTATAGTCATTACTGTTACCAAGCAGCAACTAGTAGCTTTTAATTGCAGTTTGTACATCCCATAGAATAAACTGAAGATGAGTTCTTATCCACACTAGCAGTGGCCTTAGTGTGTAATCTTGGCAATTTAATCTTCTGTTATTATCTGTGAAATGATGATAAATATTGAAATAGTGTACAGAGGTGGGAAACATGCTATACTAAGTTAACGTAAATCCCAAAGAAGAACTGGCAAAAATATGTTAGTGACAGTGGCATAGTTTTTGAATCTTCCAAATCCTTTCGCCAAAATAGCAGAGCAACTAGGATAACACAACAACAACAAACCCATGGACAACATATACAAGAAAACTAAGTTTCAAGGTATCCCAATTGTTGTACTGCAGTATATTCTCACACTAATCACCCAGGGTTAGCATCAGACTGTACAAGTTAAGGGCACAGTCCCCAACAAGACTGCCCTTACTTCAGATGCCAGCCTCAAGTTTATGGGTCCCCAGGCTACCTGTACTTCTGACAAGCTGGCTACAAATTTGAGGGTTCCCTTGACCCCGTCAGATTCAGTCATTCACTAGAATGACTCATAGAACTCATGAAAACACTTTACTTAACAATTACAGTTTTATTATAAAGATAAAAATCATTACTAGTCAAATGAACAGACACACAGGACAAAGTCTGCAAGGGTCCTGAACATGGAGTCTCTATACCCTTTTCCCATAAAATCAGGGCACATCACCCTCCTGGCACATCGATGTCTTCACTAATCAGGAAGCTCTACCGAGCTTCTGTGTTCAGGGTTTTTACTGGGGTTGCATTACCTGGGCATGATTGATTGAATCATTGGCCTTGTGGTTGAACTCAGTCTTGGCCCCCTTCCCTGGAAATCAAGAGATTGGGCTGATAATCATATGACTCAAAGAGCCAACCCTCTTAATCCCTCGATTTGTCTTTCTGGCATGGCCAACCGCCATCCACTTAAACTCAGGTTTGATTCAAAGGGCTCGTGAATAACAAAGACACTCCTATCACTCAGAAAATTCCTAGGGTTTTAGAGTGTCCCTCCCAAGACCCAGGGTCAAAGGCCAGTCAAATTCTTTATTATACAATACCTGTGAACTCCAAAATGCGAGTGGGTAAGAGCAAATCAGCAGCAGCATCAAGACTGGCATGGTGTCAGTAAGTATGTGGTAAGAAGCAGAGGGAAGGCTCAGAGAACCTGAAAATCAAGTCACCAACAGGTACTCAGCTCTAAAGGAAGGAGGCTCTGCTAGGTGTAGAAAGTTCAGCAGACCAATATTAAAGCAGCTGAAACTAAGTGACTTTGTAGATTCCAGAAAGGTGAGATGGTGCTGGGTGGTCCAGGCCCTGTGAACTCTCAGACCAACTGAAACTACTTTGCAGAACAAAGCTGCTCACTGAGGAGAACTAGAACTACATGATAGACTAAGGAGACTGTAAAATATGTATTATATGTTATAAGGCTGACAGTGTAGCTAAACACAACACTAAAAATGGGAGAAGGGAGACGACAAAAGTAAAATAGAATATACTTGCTGATTATCCTATAGGTATTATCAGGAAATAAAGGGATATTACTTCAAACTAGATGTTTCGGGAGAGAGAAATGAGAAAGAATTTCAATATTGTATTTATAGTGGGGAACCAACAGACAGTATCTCAAAAAAGATATTAAGGACATAAGGACATTATATAAGGTATTTGCATCAAAATCATATTTTGAATAAAAATATAAGCTTTCCTAAGTACCAAAAGGTATAGGAAGAAAAGGAGAGGAGGACAATAAAATAGATCATATCACTAAAGATTAGATGTTTGATTTATATATGTATATGGCACAAAAATAAATATAACATAAAACAATGGCAGAACTAAGGTCAAACATCAATCATATCATTAAATGTAATGGATATAATTCATGTTTTATAAAAAGATTTTTTTGAAGTAAATTCCAATATTATGCAGAATATAAGAGGTACATCTAAAAGAAAGAGATTCAGAAAGGTTTAAAATAAAAGGACAATGAACACAAGCAATCATTTTTGGGTCAAAAAGACCCAAAATATCAATCAAAAATATCTAAATCTATGAATTCATAATAATACCTAAGAAAATAATAATATTGGTCACCTTTGGAGGATATTAGAGAACCAGCTCATTATTTTGAAAAATGGCAAGGAAAGAATCCGGCATTTATCCTGACTTTCCTATGTGAACTATTATTTAGGATAAACAAATAAATGAAGACGGGAAATTTCTCTTTACAGAAGTATTTCAGATAATAAATGCAGGAATTGTTGCATTAGAATATCACCACTTTATAGGAGCTAAGGAATCAGTGGATCACATTAGCTGCTGACATCACAAAAAGATAGCCAGATATTTATGTGTATCCTGGATGGAAGGACATAATACCACCTATGAAATAATCTTGTGAAAAAAAAATCAAATTTCAATGTGATTAAGCCTCTAGAAAAAGGTTTCTCAACCTCAACCCTATTAACATTTTGCACTGGCTAATTCTTTTGCGGGGTGGGAGGCTGTCCTTTGCATTGTAGAATGTTTAGCAGCATCCCTGGCCTCTACTTGCTAGATGCTAGTAGTATACCATCCTCCCCACCCTAGTTGTGGCAACCAAAAATGTCTCCAGACATTGCCAGATGTACCCTGGGGAGCAAACTTCCCCCCATTTCAGAACCACGGCTCTAAAACTACTAGTGTACAGGAAATACAGGAGACCGAAAAATATACAAAATGACACCATAGGGGTATAGTCAGCAAAATCTAGAATGTGAGGAACTATATAAAACAAATCATTTACTTCAGTGCTGTCCAATAGAAATATAATGCAAGCTATATATGTAGTTATAAACTTTCTAGTGACCAGACTTTAAAAAGTAAAAAGAAATAGGTGAAATTAATTACAATATTAATTCAGTATATTAAAATACTATTTCAACATGTGATCAGTATTGAAAAATAGAGACATTTTACATCTTTTTTTCATGCTAAGTCTTCAGAATACTGTATTTTATTCTTACAACACATCTCAATTCAGATGATAAATTTTAATCAGAAATATTTGATCCCTATTTTGATTTTATAAAACTTAACAGTTGAAAAAGTAAGTTCACATGCCCAAGTTATTCTAAACATTTTCTAATAAGTGAAGTCAGTATTGATTTTTAATTTTAAATTAATTTAAATGAAATAAAATTAAAAATTTAGTTTCTCAGTCACAGTAGCCACATTTTAAATGTTTAGTACCACATATGACTTGTGCTTACTTTATTGGACAGTATAATATCTAAGATAAAGGAAAAAAGGGAGAGGAACTTCCTATAGTTAAAATGGACTTATAAAACATGTTAGCCAGATACAATGTGTGGGCATTATTTTGATCCTGATTTAAACAAAGCAACTGTAAAAAAAAAAACAAATCAAAGAAATGGAAATTTGAATATTGACTCAATATTTGATAATATTAGAGTTTATTGACAATATTTTTAAGCTTGATAATGAGAATACAATGAACAACTTTATGGCAATAAACTTAAAAATTTAGATGAAATGGAAAACTTCCTTAAAAGATACAAACTACCAAAGGTCATTGAAAAAGAGATAGCCCTATATTTACAAAAGAGATGAAATTTGTAGTTAAAAACCTTCCCACAAAGAAAACTCCAGGGCCAGAGGCTTCACTGGTGAATTTTACCAAGCATTTAAAGGAAGAATTAGTACCAGTTCTACCCAAAGTCTTCAAAAGGTGAAGAGGAGGGGAATACTTCTTGACATGTTGTATGTGGCCAGCATTAACCCCATATCAAAACCAGACAAGGACAAGTAAGGAAACTACAGACCAAGATATCTCATGAACATAGGTGTAAAAATTCTTAATAAAATGTTAGCAAATCAAATCCAACGATATATAAAAGAGTAATACATCCTAACCAAGTAAGTTTATCCCAGAAATACGAGATTGATTTAACATTTGGAAATTTATCAGTGTAATTTACCATATGAACAACTAAAGAAAAACCAAGTGATCATTTCAATATATACAGAAAAAGCATTTGACAAAAATCCAGCATCCTTTTATGATAAAAAACTGCATCTAGACGGAGCCAGCCTGATAGCGTAGTGGTTAAGTTGGCACGCTTGGCTTCAGTGGCCCAGGGCTCGCAGGTTGGGATCCCAGATGCAGACCTACGCACCACTCATCAAGCCATGCTGTGGCCGCATCCCACATACAAAGTGGAGGAAGATGGGCACAGATGTTAGCTCAGGGCCAATCTTCCACAGCAGAAAGGGGAAAGATTGGCAACATGTTAGTTAGTTCAGGGCCATTCTCCCTCACCAAGGAAAAAAAACCTACATCTAGGAATAGAGGGAAACTTCATCCACCTGATAAAGGGCATGTGCCGAAAACCAACAGCTCGTATCATACTCAGTGGGGAAAGACTGAAAGCTTTCCCCTGATGATTCGAAACAAGGAAATGCTCACTCTCACCAGTTCTATTCCACATTGTACTGGAGGCTCTAGCCAGTGCAATAAGGCAAGAAAAGGCTTTCAGATTGAAAAGGAAGAAGAAACTTATCTTTTTCAGACAAACATGATCATTTCTATGGAAAATCTAAAGGAACCTACAAAAATGCTACTGGAGCTATCGGTGAATTTAGCAAGGTTGCAGGATACAAGTTCAATAT